TGGAAGGTATGGACCGATGATGGCAGCAACGGCAAAAGTAGTAGGGACAAACCCAAAGAGTCATTTCAGGCATCTAGATAGTGGAGGGTATGACTCATCAGTGTTTTACTTTTTGATCTTCTATATGATTTTTTTTTTTTGCTTTATGATCTTTTATATGAGTACTCTTGAGTTGACTCTAAACTCAAGTCGACTCACAAAAGTCACCAACTTTACTAAGTCATAGTCAACTCGCAAGGAGACCCCATCAATAGAAATCTGATTCAATGTCTGGTGTAAGTCACCATGCTTAATATGGGTCACAAGATCATGCAATCCTATGGTCTAGTTCACGATTTTAATAAAATTAATTTGCATGTCTTGATTTTCAAAAATGCAATATTCTTAACACAAACTAAGTTATTTTCCCTAAAAAATCGTCGATCCATCCATTGTACAAGGATGATACCTAGTGTGAGTAGAAATCACTTTGTTGAAGCACATTTGACCTTTCAAATCAGTCCATCTACTAATATAATATTTATTTTATAATAGTAACCACAATAATTTTCATTATAACCTGAAGGACACCCAATGATTACTCTATGTACTATATATTATCAACATTTCCATTTTATTGAATAATAGATCCAAAAACTTCTTGTTCATTCATTCTAATTATATCTTGGATTTTTTCTTAGTATAACCAAGATTACATCCCATAATTCAATCTTAGTCCCAATTAATCTAAAACCTTTAGATTCCAAGATTTGTTATGTTCAAGTTTAAAATCAATTTCATTTATATTCATCGCATTCAACTCACACAATTGGGGTCTATAATGTACATGACAAGTAAAATTTGTCCGTTATCAATTTTAAAATAAAATAACTTAAATTTAATCCTTGATGTAATATTCAAATTGCATGAGCAGTGATTTCTTCAAATTTTAATTCCAAATAAGTATTCTCAAAATCATTTTAGGACAGATTGAAAAGAGGAGATATTGATCCTGTATGGGTCATCTTGAAGTTCACCCCTCAAAAAGACAAAATAATGAGACATGAGAAATTATCAAAATTAAGTGAAATTCTGTAAGTGTCATTTAAGATATAAAAATCAATGGTAAGAAATCCTAGATTATGTAATTAACTGTTGCTAAATCACATCACCTTCAAAGTCTTATATTCTTTACTGTCATCAGATAAAAGACGTAGGATCAAAGCCAACAATAAACTTCTGCCAAAAAGTATCAAAAACATACAACACCTGATAATAGCTTTGATTTCATGTGTAAAAAAATCAAAAAAAAAATTTCTACAAGATTGCTGTAAAAAGAAACTGCCACTGTTTGTAGCAAGAACAGTAGAAACCTAATCAAGAATATAACTAATTCAAAAAAGAAACGTGCAGATGAGAACTTCAGACATTGGTTAAAATATGAAGGAAGCCATCGTAAATACAACTATGAATTGCCTTGAATTTACACAACAGGTTCAGCACAATAGACCACAGAAAGAATATCTTCCATTTAACAATAACCAAACAAAGTGATACAATTAAAAATAAAGGTTCACAGCCAGGAATTCGGACATTTTAAGCCATTTCAAAAATCTAAATGGGTCAAAATGATCCTTAGAAGACACTTCCAAATATTTGAGGATCCCCAAAATTTAAGTTCAACAAGGTATAGGGTAATCAAACGAACAAATATCAACAAAGGAGGCTATGACTGGACTATCAATCCATTAGGTAAATTATAACAATTAACCACATAGAGTGTGAAAGGTTGACTACTTAAAAACAATGATATAGAAGAAACCTATAATAGAACTTTTCCTAATTAGCAAATCAAGAAACAATATAATGATCATTAGAAGTCAAAAAGATAGCAAAGGCATAAGTAAATATAAATCAAAAAGAAGAGTTAATGAAGTCTGACAGTGACAAATTCATCACCATAAACAAAAGATGTAATTGGCTGATGCACAGAAAATAACATACGCCTGGTATTCGTTGCAACTGCAACCATTACAAAACAAAGACAATAAAATACGAAAAGAGAAGACCTAAAGCATGTCAACAAGATAATTATCTATAGAAAGGAAAGACCCAGCTTTTTTTTTTTTTCCTCAAGAGAACAACCACAATCGAAGATAAGAAAATGATGGACCTGATCGTTGTTATCGTTCTTCTTCTGCTTATTGATGACAAGCTCATCCCGCTTAGGGTTCTCCCCATATTTCTCCAAGAACTGGCGCATGTTTATGTCGATGTCTTTAGCAGCAACGACAAGGTATCCTCGGTCCCTCAGCATCTGCATCACCGTCCGTCTGATCCGAAACAACCGGCTGACCTCGCCCTCAGAGGTTGCCATCTTCCTCGATAACTAATCATGTTTCACGATTACCGCAACACATCAGGGAAAGGGGAAAAGGAGAACGAAAGAATCATGAAAGACATTCATCTTAGCAACAAAAAATTGGGAACAGCCAATGCGAAACTCCAACCAAATCGAAAGAGACTTTAATCAAGTTATTGAATGTTACGACGCAAAGAAAGTTGTATGAAAGACCTCCGAACCCTTGCGCTAGGGTGGTTGCAAGAAGCAAGATGAGAACAGGAAAGAAGGACGGAGGGAGCGGCTACCACAACGACCTCGGAGAGCGGGGGACACAGGAGACGATCCACAAGATGCGAGAGAAGCGGCCTTCGGTATCTCTGCGAATCGTAGGGTTTCGAGGGCGAGGCGAGCGACCCCGAGAAATAGGGTTGGGTTCAGCGGAGCAGTGCGATCATGAGTGGGGCCCAGGGTGGATTTAGTTTGGACGGACAAATCAATTGGTTGTCTATACCATGATATTTACATCTTATAGTTATTTAGTCTTCTTAATCAATTAAAATTGAGCTGTATATTATACGAGGTGAATCTTGAATTTTAATGATGAAATAAATTAATAAGATTTTGATGATGAAATAAATTAGTGAATTAATGATCTAATTAATGTGTTTAGATAAGTGATGTATGACTAACTACGATCGAGAGAAAGATAAAATGATTAAGGAAGAATCGAAGTTGGGCTAGAGTCAGTGATCGTGCATTGGGCCGAATGAATCAGGGGATACATCAAAGGATCAGTTGATATAGTAAAATCTCATCGGAGGATCACCGAGAGTTCATCGAAAGCTCACCGGAGGTTTACTGGGAGTTCGTCGAAGGCTCATTGGAGGTTCACCAAGAGTTCGCCGAATGCTCGCCGGAAGATTGCCAAGAGATCGCTTAAAGTGTTGAATCTCAGATTTTAATGATGAAATCAATTGATAAGTTTGTAATCTAATCTGCATTTTGAGTGACGTAGGACTAGCTTCAATCAAGGAGAGGCAAATTGATTAAAGCAAGAAGAATCATGTTGGGCCGGAGTGGAACATTCAGAAGATTAGACATCGAGCCGGAGGATCGGTTGACATATCAGTAGAAGGCTTCGGGCTATGGGTTTAGGCATCGGGCCAAGAAGAGTGAAAATTACACTAAGGAAATCGGAGTTGCGGAGGTCAACTGGCCGATTGGGCAATATACCGCAAGAGAAGACAATGCACCGAAGAATCAGACGAGGCATCGATGAACCAATTACATGTCGGACAAAGGATTCATGCTTTATAATCATTTATTTAAGATCAAAGTTGTTTGTGGGGCTAATTGAGTTAACTTTTGGTATAATCATGCTAACTCAATTAAGGGCCAATTGGGCCTTAATTGGGACTGATTTGGGCTCATTGGGATGCCCATTCAGTGATCCAAAAGTTGGGTCAAGTGGTGGCACCGCCAGAATAGGTGGTGGAACCGCTTGTGAGTTGGAAAACTCGAAAAACCCCATCTCCGAGGCTGTCAGGTAGTGGTACAACCAGATTGGGCGATGGTACCACCCAGTGATAGTGTGTCAGGCAGTGGTACCGCCCAGTGTTAGGCTGTAGGCGGTGGTACTGCCTAGTGTAGGCGGTGGTACCACCCGTACTCAGAAGACATAAAAATTTAAATTTTTGACTCCATTTTTGAAACCATTTAGGGCCTATAAATACCCCACTAGGGCAACAAGAAATGAGCAAGAATTCTTGAGAAAAAAATTGAGTAAACTCTATCAAAACTTTGAGTTCCCTCCTCCTAGTGCTTAGAGTTAGTCCTAAGGGAGGTATGTGAGGGAATACTTATAAAAGAGTGACTTATAAAGGTTATCTCCTAAACTCATGAAAAGGAAAAAAGTGCTGTAAAGAGGTGGTTGGTCTTCGCCTATTAAAGGAATATCTTTAGTGGATGCCGGTGACCTCAACGAAGGAGGAATCGGAAGTGGATGTCAGTCATTATGACCGAACCACTATAAATTCTGGTGTGTTCTTTCCTTACTGCTTATTCTCTTTACTGTATTTTACTTTACTTCGTTGCAAACTATCCAATCCCCTCTTCTCTATTCACTTGCAAACTTATATGAGTAAAACAAATGGTTTTTATCGAAATTAGTTTTTATCGTACGAGGATTTTCAAACTGACATAATTTTTTCACTGTACTAATTCACTCCCTCACCCCTCTTAGTGCCGACTCGATCATAACAATTGGTATCAAAGCTATGTTTTTCTTGTTTGGTTTAATACCCAAGAGAAATGACTCTTTTCGATTTTCTAGATTGTCACTTTATCATTCATCCTCCCATGTTCAATGGGACGGACTACACTTATTGGAAAACTTGGATGAGAGTTTTCTTACTTTCGTTGAATCTTGATTTATGGAATATTATTGAAAACAGATTTCAAAAGTCTTTCTTCCAATAAACGATTGGAATGAGTTGGAGAATAAGACTTTCTCTTTAAATGCCAAGGCTATAAATACCTTGTTTTGCGCTTTAGATAAAAATGAGTTCAATCAAGTATCTTTTTATGAAACGACTTTTGATATTTGACACATATTTGAAATCACTCACGAAGGCACTAGTAAAGTTAAAGATTCAAAAATTAATTTTTTAATACATGATTTGAATTGTTTCGCATGCAACCAAGCAAGACCATTGGAAACATATACACCCGATTTATGGATGTCGTCAATGGTCTAAAAACACTTAGTAAAAGTTTTTCTAATTTTGAACTCGTTAACAAGATATTAAGATCTCTTTCTAAAAATTAAGATTCGAAAGTAACGACAATACAAGAATCAAAGAACTTGAACCAATTTTTGATTGGAGAACTTATTGGGTCTTTGATGACCTATGGAATGAGTTGTGTGGCACATGATGAACATGATGAACTTCCTTTCAAAGAACAGGAAGGATTTGATACTTAGAAATCAAGAAGACTACTCGAGCGAAAGCTCATATGATGATGACTTTGAACTCTTAACAATAAAGCTTAAAAAGTTCATGAAACAAGAATAAAAAAATAAAAACAAACTTAAAAAGAACACAACTACTTGTTATGAACACAAGAAGCCAGGTCACTCCAAAGATGAGTACATAAAACTGAAGAAGAAGTTGTTAAAGGACGAATCTAGCGCATCCGAAGATGAGGAGCAAACCAATAAAGACGAGGTGGCCTTTCACAATGAGGTATATAACTCACCCGAAATGTATTTACCTTATTTTAAAATAACTTGATGCATTTCATGAGTTGTTTTTAATTAGTTTAAAAAAAATTATATATAAAAGAAATTGATTATGAAAACTGTATGTTTTATGATAAAGGAACAAAATGTTAGATTTAATTCTCAAAACCTGTACACCTAATATGATTAATCTTATAAATGTGTATCTAAATGATTTAAGAATTACTTTTTGATTTTCAAATTACTTTTCAATTTTGATTGAAGATGCCTTATGTTCAATGAAACTATGCTGGATGAATATGCTTTATGTTTAATGATGATTTGAAATTATGTTTAATGAGTTTATATTTTAAATTCTGCATGCTGATTTTTGTGATTTATGGCCTTTGTATGAAAGATTAGAAAATGAAATCAATCATAAATATTAGAACTAAAAGAACTTTAGCTATTTTTTCTTGTAAGAATTTATCTACATTACTTTCATTGAATTTTTTGAAAAATGATTTTGAGGATGATTTTGGATTTCTTTTCATATGATTCATTTTAATAATGAGATGATATATCCAATCAAATCATTTATCGATGTTTACGACTTGAGATGCATTTTATATGAAATATTTTTCTTGATTCTCATATAATTCACTTTTTTAAGAGAACATTCATCTAAACAAATCATTATTTATCCTAAATAAGAGATTTTTTTCCTTTCTATAAATCCAACGAACCTTGATTCTTTCATTTGATGAATTAAGATTTATGATGAGTCAAGATTTTTTATACTTTATTCTCCTATGATTCTTTTTTATATTCACTAAAAATGAGACTTATCCTAATAAACCATGATATGCTACTTGATAACTTGACAATATATGACTTGAGTCTTGTTATGTATTATTCCCCTCTTCTTCTTGTTGAATCTCGTATTTTGATGATGAAACTACTTGATATATGTTTATGATTTAATCTGCGTTTTGAGTGATGCAGGATGCTTCGATCAGGATGAGACAATTAAAGCAGGAAAATCATGTTGTGCTGGAGGAACATGTCAGAAGATTGGACGTTGGGCCGGTGGATCGGTCGACGTATCGACAGAAGGCTTCGGGTCGTGGACTCGGGCATCGGGCCAAGAAGAGCGGGTATTGTGCCAAGGATATCGGAGTTGCGGAGTCCACTGGCCGATTGGGCAATAGGCTGCAGGAGAGGACAATGCGCCGAAGAATCGGACGAAGTGTCGAGGGACCAATGACATGCCGGACAACTTGGTTAATTGCTTAGGATTAATTGTCTCGATCGAAGATTTGTTTTAAGTGTGCAGGATTAACTACGATGGAAGAAAGACATGTAGTAGGAGTTGCACCGAAGTCAAGACAATGATCACGTTGGGAGTTCGAGAGTTCGACGGAAGTTTGGATAGTCATTAGAAGTTCTGCGGGAACAAATCCGAGAAGTCCATAAGCTTGACAAAGAAGCTCGTCGGAACTCGCCAAGTGGATCGTCGCAAGTCTAGGAGTTTGCCGGAAGTCCGTAGGAGCATCACCGAGGGTTCAATGGATGATCGATGGAAGCTCGTCGGAAGAAGCGATTGACGCACCGGAGCAAGTTGTAGTAAATGTCTTAGGGAATATCGTAGTTAGCACAATGATTAAGTTGGAAATGGGAGGTGATCCCATTAACTTAATCTTGGGGCAATTGGGCCCCTGAAAAACCCAAATTGGGCCGAATGGATCAACTCATTCGGACCATGATTTCTGTTGGGAGGTACAACCGCCCAAGCCAGGAGGTGGCACCGCCTGGGCTAAGTCTCCGAGCGAGACTGGGCGGTGCAACCGCCCCAGCCAGGAGGTAGCACCGCCTGGGCTAAGTCTCCGAGCGAGACTGGGCGGTGCAACCGCCCCAGCCAGGAGGTAGCACCGCCTGGGCTTAGTCTCCAAGTGAGACTGAGCGGTGCAACCTCCCCTGACAGGAGGTAGCACCACCTGAGCTCGGTCTTCGAGCTCTGGCAAGAGGTGCAACCGCCTCAGTCAGGCGGTGGCACCGCCTAAGCTCGGTCTTCGAGCTCTGGCAGGTGGTGCAACCGCTCCTGACAGGAGGTAGCACCGCCTAGAGGCTCAATCTTCGAGCTCTGCCAGGTGGTGCTACCGCTCCAGTAAGGAGGTGCAACCGCCTGATCCCGGAATTCTGGGAATTGACAGTTTTGAGCTCCAAATTTGAACTGGGTTGGGGCCTATAAATACCCCAC